GTATTGGCATCCATGTTCTGGGGTCTGGATCAGTCTTGTACTGGCCTCCCCAACAGCATCTGGGGTCGATGTGCTCTCCAAGTCTAATTACTTTTTAAATATAAAGTTTTTGTTGTTGTTTTGGTTTTTGGTTTGGGTTTTTTTTTTTTTTTGAGACAGGGTTTCTCTGTGTAGCCTGGGCTGTCCTGGAACTCACTCTGTAGACCAGGTTGGCCTCAAATGCTCAGAGATCCACCTGCCTCTGCCTCCCAAGCTCTGGGGTTAAAGATGTGCACCACCATCTACCTGACTTAAATGTAAAGTTGTTTTTTTTTGGGGGGGGTGGTTTTCAAGAAAGGGTTTCTCTGTGTAACCTTGGAGCCTATTCTGCCACTCGCTCTGGAGACCAGGCTGGCCTGGAACTCACAGAGATCCGCCTGCCTCTGCCTCCCGAGTGCTTAGATTAAAGGCGTGCGCCACCAATGCCCAGCTCTAAATGTAAAGTTTTAAATAATTATTTGGTCTTGAGGTAGAATAGTACCAATATCCCAAATTCTTAAAAATATTTTTATTTTATTAGCGTACATTAATTATATATAATGACATGACATTGTCATATATATACACATTATGACCTTTACACACACACACACATATATATAGTATATTACAGTGATGTTCACCACCATCCTCCCATTCATCTTTCTTATCTCCCTCTAGCTCCCCTTAGACCCCTTCCTTCCAAAATCATATGCTTGGGACCAGCCCAGGGCTGTGTAGCGAGACCTGTCCTCAACTTAACTAAATGAATGAATGGAATATTTCCATCTATTTTGAAGTTAGAAGATGCCTCACGGCAATTTCCCATTTCCCTTTTTCTTTTACTTTTTTTAATATTTGATTTTATGTGCATGGGTGTCATGCCTGCAGATATATCTGTGTACTACTTGCATGCCTGGTGCCCACAGAGATCAGAAGAGGGCATTGGATCCCCTAGAACCAGACATACAGAACGTTGTGAGCCATCTGATATGGGTTTTGGGAACCAAACCTGGGTCTTCTGCGGGAGATATATTGTACACATTTCTATAATTCCCAAAGAATAAGGTGCTTTTTTAGAAAAGAAAAGGATTCTATACAATGGTTTAGAAAGCTCTGTCACTTTGATCAGTGCTAACAGAAGTAGGGAACGACACAGAATGAACCTCAGCTGTGCAAATGAATCACCAAACTGAGTAAGAGAAGAAAAGATGCCCAGGTTCCAGTCACGCTCCTAGGTCTGGGCTGAAAGGGTCTCGATCTTGTTGGGTCTTGAGCAGATAACCGCAGCTCAGTGAGTGCAATGGCCAATAATGTTCAGCAGACATGGTTTCACAGGGCTCCATCCCCCCTTCCCAGATGTTCCCAGAGCCTTAGTGTAAGGTTGACATAGATGTCTCATTTAGAGATGAACACTCAATAATCAATTAATGTGAGCACTGCAGAGAAAAGCCTATCTAGCCAAAGCTTAAGGCTGTACCAATCTATACATATGAACATAAACATTTAGAAGGTAATTTGATAGCATGTCCATTTAGCAAGACCCCACCCCACCCCTTCCCTACTAAGACTTTAATGACTTCCTGGACCATGTGCTTTTGACCAGGTTTAGTTTAGGTTTTTGTTTTCTTTATTTTATCTTTTTTGAGATAAGATCTCACTAGGTAGCCCTAGCTGGCCTGAACTTGCTATGTAGATCAGTCTGGCCTCTAACTCTCAGAGATCTGCCTTTCTATGCCACCCAAGTGCTGAGATCACAAGTGTGTACCACCACACCCGGGTTGGCCAGGTTGAGAGTGCCAGCATGGACTCTCCTGTGAAGCAAACCAAACGCTTTAGTTACCCCCCTCCCCAAACCTTCATGCCACTATTCACCATGGGACACATCTTGGCTGGCATGATGATATTGTAGCATGCAGAGTTTGCCAACAGGTATTACCATGGGTGGCCTTTCTCCCCCAGCAGACTGTCAAGCCTCTTCTGGTACTATGAAGGGAGGAAACTTTAAATAACTTCCAGCTTGATGTCCCTCTATCCTGAAAGCAAAGTCTACTGTGTACTCAGCAATGGGTCCTAGGCATCTAATTCTGTCCAGCTTATTTGGTGAGAAAGGGTCTTTCACTAAATCTGAAGTTAGCCAATCAGAAAGACCTGAGTCTTTCTGTCCTTCCATTGCCAACACTAAGATTAAAACATTCTCCATACTGCCTAGCTTCTTACATAGCTGCTGGGCATTTGTCCTCATGTTTCTCCAGCAAACATTGCACTATCTCCAAGCCCTGGAGAGGAAATAAACTTAATTATGTAGTATCTATGTTTTCATACTTAACATGTATTTCATGTAGTTGGTACACTTAGATCTTGTGAGTTTGTTTTTGACAGCTTGACTGACAATAGATGATAGGGTTATAAATTATTGTTAACTAAATTCTAAATTTATGTACATTTTGTTTAGATAATTTTCTGCCATTTGTTGTCCTTTTTATGAATCTATAGAGTTTTCTCATTGTTTATTCTTTAAACATTTTATTTATTTTTTCCTTGGTTAAACCTGTTAATGTGTTTGTGAGTATGTGCAATTATGTGCATTGTATGTACTACATACAGGCCAAAGGGAGACATGGAACACCCACACACACACACACAGATTTTTTTTTTTTGAGACAGGGTACTCTGTGTAAACCTGGCTGTTCTGGAACTCACTCTGTAGACCAGGCTGGCCTTGGACTCACAGTCCTGCTTGTCTCTGCCTCCAGAGTGCTGGGATTAAAGGCGTGTGCCACCCCCCAGCTCCTCAGAGAGCATCTTCTCCCTTAAGTCCACATCTTATTCCCTTGAGAAGACAGCATCTCAAAATCATGAACCTGAGCTAAGCTAACATCCAGCAAGCCCCAGTGATCCTCTTGCCTCTACTCCCACAGTGCTGGGTTACTGGTTTTTATTATTATTATTGTTATTATTATTATTATTATTCTTTAAGCTCATTTTAGCTGGTTTCATGGACAGGCAGTAACTATGTACTCATTCCAACACATTCCCTGGATATCTGTACCATTACTTTACAAACCACTTTCATTATGTTATTGAAAACCACAGTCTGAGTGTCATATGACACAACAATGACAGGGTCACTGAATGTTAGCTTTCTACTTCATTCTTGGCCCCAAATCTTCATGTTTCTTAAAAACCCAATGCAAGCACTTAATTGCATGGAACTATTTTATAACTTTTATCTCCTCTGCTTAGCTGTGTCTTTCTTCAAACCCTGAAGTCCTCTGCAGAAGTAACTCCAGCCCTTCAAAGCCACTGTGCGCTTCCAGAAACCATGGTAATGGACACCCCGCCTTCCCTGCTGGTCAGTGCATAGCCCTGTGATTGAACACTGTTTTGTTCATCGATTGCCAATTGTAAATGTATCACAATTAAATTCTACAAGTATCTAGTAATCACTAGCAAGAGATAGGTATAGATAGGAACTTGACAGTGGACAGGGGACACACACTTGTTAGCTTCATGAAATGTACAGTCAACTCCTCCTCCTATGAGACATCTGTTGTTGAAATTCTTTTTGCCTTACTCCTGATAAACATTCAGACTAACTGGACCTGTCTGTGATCTTCAGAGAATAGTAGGCTTGTCTTCTTGTTTCTTTTGGGATGCACAAGGCAAGTTTTATTTGTTTGGTTAGAATTATGTTTGGGACAAGTTCTCATTGTGTAGCCTAGGCTGACTTTGAACTTGCTATGTTCAAATCCCAGACTGGCTAGGAATTTGTGATCCTCCTGCCTCAACCTTCCAAATGCTAGGATCACAGGAGTATGCTGTCATTCCCATTTGATTTTTGTTCTTTACTGCAATTCAGGAGATCAAACCCAAGGTCTTATGCATGCTAAGCAAGGAATTTATGTCTGAGCTGTATCCCCAGCCTCCAGGCATGTTTCTTTAGCAAAAGCAAATGCCCAGCAAAATCATGAAGTAGGACGACCGATTGATCCCTACGTGTTTCTCTGATACAGTCTTACTATCAGTTCATGCTGACACAAACCACCTCACATTGTAGTAACCGGTCTACTGCTTCTCATCCCACAGGGAGAGAGCAAAGCTGGCCATGTCGGCTCATGTTTGGAAAACAGCACTCTGGAATCTGAAGCAGGAGAATTATCAGGAATTCAACATTAGCCTAGATGATAATATAAGATACCACCTCAAAAAACAAACCAAAAAAAAGCCAAAACAAACATTCATATAATAATGGAAGAATAGTAAAGGAAAATAAAACAGCAGAGCAATTTCCGGTTCACATGATAAAACTCTTATATTTGGAAATTTTCAAATTTTATAAATGTGGGGAATGTAGTGCTAGATGGTCCCACAATGGACACACACACACACACACACACACACACACACACACACACACGCGAGAGAGAGAGAGAGAGAGAGAGAGAGAGAGAGAGAGAGAGAGAGAGAGAGAGAGAGAGATCTTCAATGCTTATCTTCAATAACTGAGCGTGACAAGGCATGCTTGGAGTCCCAGAAGAGAAAAAAGTGACAATGAAGCCTTGGGCATGTGGAGGCACTATGACTATAGTGCCAGGTTTGGGAAATTGAGGAAGGAGGAAGAGAAGTTCAGTGCTTCCCTTGACTACATAGAGTGTTCCAGACCAGCCTATACTACACAAAATTCTCTATAGAGAGGATGTATGTACCACATTGTACCATCTAGGAGCACACTCTTGCAGATGTGTGAGATTTATTCTTTATATCTAGAGCACTCCTTCCTTCAATAAGTGCTGAGTGTAGGCTGTACTTAGAAGATGTTGGGTTTTGGTTGATTATATTGTCAATTTGATTAACAATATTATTGATTATATTATCAGCGATAATATAATATCCAATCTTGATTTAAGACCCAGTTTTTATTTAATAAATGGTTTCTCTTTCAAAGGACACCACAGGTGGAAGCAATCATGAGGATCCAGTGACAGTTCTCTCTACTGTAGCTGGTAAGAATTTGAAAGCAACATGGGATTATGTGTTTGAAAGGCAAGTGTATTTATAGTTGTCCAAGGAGCTCCTAGAAGGGAGAGCACTGCTATAGAGGGTTCTGTAGATGACAGTGTCAGCATTCCTGTGACATCTTGAGAATGAAGGCAGGACTAATGACAGCAGTCCTGTGTCAGGGCCAACCAGCCAGTGTTAACGGCATGATGCAGCCAGCTGGTTTCCTGAGATCTTAAATGGGAAATTAGGGTGCCAGAGTACTCTTAGGAAGCACACATTATTTCTAAGTTCCAGATCAAATGGGAGACTTGGACACATGATCCCACACTCCGATTCTATGAAAAGGTCTGAGAGGATCTCAAAGGATAACATGGACATTGGAGGAAGGTCCTAACCTATCCATAGCAGACAGGCAGAACAATGTAACAGACACCACAGCCTTGGGATTGAGAGGTTTGCTGCATTTCCTGCTGGGTCTCCCTTCTTCTCCCCACAGATGTTGCTCCAAGTGAAGCCCAGGGATGTGAATGTCCATCCAGCGGTGCCTGTGTCCTCTCCACAGACCTGGCTCAGAGTGAAGCCCAGTGGCTTCAAGAGGCAAAGAGTCTGAGTGAGCAGCTGAGAGCAGCCTACACCAAAGCCACTTTCCGCCACATGAATTTGCCAGAAGTGTGTTCCAGCCTAGGCACTGACCACTTGCTTGGTTGTGACCTGTCCATCGTCTCAAAGCACATCAGCAGGCCAGTGCAAGAGGCCTTGACGCTTCCTGAGGTCTTCACCAATCTCAACTCTGTCATGTGTGTGGAGGGGGAAACTGGCAGTGGGAAGACAACCTTCCTGAAGAAAACAGCCTTTCTCTGGGCATCAGGATGCTGTCCCGTGCTGAACAGGTTCCAGCTGGTCTTCTACATCTCCCTTAGTTCCAGCAGACCAGACCAGGGTCTGGCCAGCATCATCAGTGCCCAGCTCCTCGAGGCAGGAGGAAGCATTAGTGAAGTGTGCCTGAGCAGCAGCATCCAGCACTTAAAGCACCAGGTGCTCTTCCTGTTGGATGACTACAGTGGGATGGACTCACTGCCCCAAGCCATAGAAACACTGATTACAAAAAACTACTTGTCACAGACCTGCTTACTGATCGCTGTCCATACCAACAGGGCCAGGGCCATCCGCCCATACCTAGATACAATTCTAGAGATCAAAGAGTTTCCCTTCTACAATACTATCTCTGTATTACGGAAGGTATTCTCACACGATATAATCTGTGTGCGAAGGTTTATAAATTACTTTGGAAAGAATGAAGATTTACAGGGAATTCACAAAACCCCCCTCCTTGTGGCAGCAGTCTGTACTGACTGGTTTCAAAATCCTTCTGACCAGTCCTTTCATGATGTGGCAGTTTTCAAGTCCTATATGAAATACCTGTTCTTAAAGCACGAGGCTACACCTGGGCCTCTCAAGGCCACCATGTCCTCATGTGGCCAGCTGGCCTTGAGAGGGCTTTTCTCATCTTGCTTTGAGTTCAGTAGTGAGGACCTCACAGAAGCAGGAGTTGATGAAGATGAAGATCTGACCACCTGCTTGATGAGCAAATTCACTGCCCAGAGACTGAGACCAGTCTATCGCTTCTTAAGTCCTTTGTTCCAAGAATTTCTTGCTGCCATGAGGCTGACTGAACTCCTGGGTTCAGAAAGAGAGGAAGACCAAGATCTGGGTTTTGAATATTTGAGACAAGTTAACTCACCCTTGAAGGCTCTGAGTGTCTACAACAATTTTTTGAAGTATGTCTCCAGCCACCCTTCATCAAAGGCAGGGCCAAAAATTGTTTCTCACTTGCTTCAGTTGGTGAGTGATAAAGAGTCTCTGGAGAACATGTCTGAAAATGAGGATTATGGGAAGATCCATCCAGAAACTTCCCAGAGGATGCACCTTATTAGGGGGTTGTGGCAGCTTTCTCCTGAAGCATTCTCTTTATTTATTTCAGAAAATTTATTGAATATTGCTCTAAAGTTTGCTTATGAAAGCAATGCAGTTTCTGTGTGTTCTCCATTTATCTTGCAGTTCCTTCGAGGAAGAACACTGGCTCTGAATGTATTGAATTTACAGTACTTTGGGGACCATCCAGAAAGCCTTCTATTATTGAAGAGTATTGAGGTCTCCATAAGTGGAAATAACAGTGTACAGAGAATAGATTTTTCATCCATGGAAAAATGTTTTGAGAAGGTCCAGCCACCAACTATAGATGAGGACTATACATCTGCCTTTCAATCCATTAATGAATGTGAGAAAAATTTAGCTGAAAAAGAGGATATAATAAAGAACTATGTGGATATCAAACACCAGGCACCACCAAATATCAGTGCTGGGTACTGGAAACTGTCACCCAAGCAGTACAAGATCCCTAGGCTGGAAGTTGGAGTGACCAACATGGGTCCAGCAGACCAAGCACTGCTCCGGGTCCTCATGGAAGTCTTCTCGGCATCGCAGGATATCGAACTCCATTTGATGCACAGCAGCGGCTTTCTTGAAAGCATCCGGCCTGCTCTGGAGCTGAACAAGACCTCTGTCACCAAGTGCTCCCTGTGCAGACTGAGGCTCAGTGCAGAGGAGCAGCAGCTGCTTCTTGCCCTGCCTGCCCTGAGGTCTCTTGAGGTCTCAGGGACAAACCAGTTGCCAGGTATCCCTGAGTGTCACACAGCCATTCTGGTTGACACCGTGTTTTCTCATTCTCAGTTTCAGATGAATGAAACTTCTCAGGCACAAGGTCATAAATGTGTCCTGATAGAAGAGATCTAAACACTTTCACTGTCTGTGGCAGTGGATAAGTCAGTGAAAGGCCCCAAATCATAGGATGGGTTTGAAGTAACTCAGAAAAACTAGGGTTGCCATCAGTATTTCATCTCTCAAGGTTGTTAATAAGGGAGTTTCAATCTCTTGTTATCGGTAAATGATGGTCTGTGTGTAAGATGATGCTGGAGAATCATCTGCACTCTGACTGCCCAAATGAGGAGGAGGTTAGATTTTCCTGAAAATGAATTGAAAATTGGGAATGATAAAGTCTTACTTAGGTTTCTATTGCTGTAATGAAATACTCTGATCAGAAGCAACTTGGAGGCAGAAAGTTTCTTTTTCTCATCTTACAACTTCCATGTCACACAGTCCATCACTGAAGGATGTCATGGCAGGAACCTGGAGGCAGGAACTGGAGAAGAGACTAGGGAGGCGTGTTGTTAACTGGTTTCCTTTCCATGGTTGCTTACACAGCTGACTTCTTATTCAGCTCTGGAACACCTGCCCAGGGGTACTGTCTGCTCCGAGCTGGGCCCTCCCTCAACAGTCTTTATTCAAGATAATACCTTGCAGACTTGCTTACAGGCAACCTGGTGGAGTCATTTTCTAACCTGAGGCTCCTCTTCCCAGATAACCCTAGCCTGTTTTAAGTTGACAGAAACAAGCCAGGTAAAAACATCTGCTCTCAGTTGTGTCTTCCTTTGAGCAATATTTGATAGTTTTCAGTACAGACTGCACCTGAATTTCATTAAGTTTGTTTATAGGTCCTTATGAGTTTTGATAGCCCTATAATGCTTGGTTTTTAAATTTTCATAATCACAACTAGTCTAAACTTTGGTCTTTAGCTATCTATTAGTAATGCTTTGCTTGTCTATATCTTTGTGTCTTACATTTTTAATGGTGCAAGGTGTGTGTGTGTGTGTGTGTGTGTGTGTGTTCGTGTGTGTTTGCAAATGTGTGCATTAGCAGGTAACCATGCTACAGCATGTGTATGGAGCTGAAGGGACAGCCTCAGGATTGCCATTCTTTCTTCTTTCATATAGATTTTAGGGATTGAAATGAAGTTGGCAGGCTTGGGACAAGTGCTCTTTCTCATGGAGCCATATCTCTGTGCCATGCACCCCTCTTGTGTATGAGAGGGTCTCATATAACCTAGGCTGGCTTTGAACTCATTGTATCCTTTCCCATTACCTGGAACTGTATTCTGCTGCCATGTCCTAAATGCCAGATACAGGCATGCTCCAATATCTAGTCTCAGAGAAAATAAAAATATTTTTGACTTTGAAAATAAATATAAAAAAACAAAACAAAGAAAATAAATATCATCCCACAAACTAAAAAAAAATGTTGCTTGTCTCATGTAAAATAGAGACAAAGCAGGGCTGACATGTTACTTAGTCAGTAGAGCGTTTCCCCATAATGCACAGAGCCCTGTGTTCAATCCCTGGCACTGCATGAACTGGGCATGGTGATACATGTGTGCAGTGTGAGCACTCAGGAAGATAAGAGGGTCAGGACTTCTGTAGTCAGTAATATTCCATTGTGTTCATGTGTATCACTATGTGTGTATGCATATATCATTGTGTGTGTATATGTATGTACGCATGTATGTATGTATGTATCATTGTGTGTGTATGTATGTATCTGTGTGTGTATCATTGTGTGCGTTCTGTTTTGCTTGTCCTTACATCCATTGATGAGCACTGGTTGTTTCCATTTTTTTTGTATTATAGGAATGCTGTCATGATCATTTGTGTTAAAAGTATCTGTTTGATCCCTGATGGGGAAAGTTCTTTTGTGTATGTTTATCTTATTGGCTGTTGAATAAAGTACTATTGGCCAATAGGAAAGCAAGTTAGGCAGGACTAGGAGATGAGGAGGATTCTGGGAAATGTAGTAAAGAGAAGTCTTGTGATCCAGGCAGGAAGTGACATAGCAGGCAGACTCAGAATATAAGCAGGGACAAACAGTAAATCACTCTCTTCCTCCTCCTCTCTTCCCTGGAGCCACCAAGTGAGCCTGACAAGAGAGGACGCATGCCGCCAGCGTCCTTGATCAGATAAGTCTTTATAAAATATATAGATTAATAATTATGGTTGATACTTAAGACAGAGATAGCAGATAAGAAATCCTAGTCATTGGCCAGCAGCATTGTAATTATTATAAGACTCTGTGTGTTATTTTGGGTGCCCACATGGTGGTGGGTCTCTGCAGCTTGGTGGAAAGATTTATCATTACAGATCCCTGCTGTCAGTTGTTTTGGGAATATGTATAGGAGTAGACTTGCCTTTTCATATGGGCAATTTTAATGTTTTCAGACGGGTCTCACTCTATAGTCTAGGCTATCTTTGGAACTCACTATGTATCACAGGCTGGCCTTAAACACTTGGTAACCTTCCTCTCTCAGCCCCCCAGGCCACTGGTGCTACATCTGTGAGCCACCACATCTTCTTCATGTTTAACCTTTTGAGGAAATTCCCAGCTGTGTTCTATGGAGACACCTCATTTACCCTCCCACCTGCCATGTGCAAGTCTCCATTTTCTCCATGTCTTCCTTGGCCTTATTTTTCCTTTGCTTTGCTATATCATGAACATATTCTAGTAAGTCAGCACTCTCTTATGACTGAGTGAGACCAAGTATATTCTCAACTGCTTATAGTGTTTTTTTATTCTATTTTTAGAGGTGTCTATTCAAATTCTTTGTAATTTAAAAGATTTTTCCTAAAAATATTTGGGTCATTCTTATGATATTGACACTCTGAAGGCTGAGGTAGGAGGACTGCCATGAGCCTGAGGCCAGCTCTACATAGTGAGTTCTTGACCAACCTGGGCAATAGAGCAAGGCCCTTTTTCAAACAAAACAAAATTATTCTGTTGTAGGAGTTCTTTGTGTATTGTGAATATTAAACTCTCATATTACAAGGGAAGAATCTCACTGGAAGAGCATTTGTCCACCGAGTTCAAAGTCCTGGGTTCCTTCCATCCCTAGAATGACAAAAATAAATACGTCAAAACCCTTATCAGACATGTGGTTTGAAAACTGTCTTCTCCCATTCTGTAGATTGTCATTTCACCTCTTTAATGTCCTCTGATGCATGAACAATTAGTAATTTTGATGAGGTTTAATTTATCTTTTTTCTTGCTACTGTCTTTTATAGCATATTTAAGGATCCAAAGTTGTGATGATTACCTGTGATTATAGCTCTGGAGAGAAAGACTTGTTAAGCAGTCAGGCTGTACCTGAAGCTGTGAAGGCATAGCTCTGGAGAGAAAGGTATCCTGACTTGGCAGGAAGTCAGGCTATACCTGAAGCTGGGATGCAGTGGAGGATATAGCAATCCTGCTATATGAGAAAGTCAGTACAACTGAGCTCTGTTCTGCCCACCCTGTAAACAGGACTTCCTAGTAGAAGTCCTGTTTCCTCTCAGCTCTGTCCCAAGATGTTACTTCAGCTTCACTCTGCTAAAAGGGAAACCCTTGCAGAAATGTAGCAATCTCCTCTGGCTCTAGCAACAAGTTGTTACTTTTTCTACTCAGCAGCCACCAAAGGGAATGTCTCAGCAAAGGTTCTTTTCCAAGTTGTTAGTTTTTCTGTTCCGCACCCCCAAGGGAATGTCTCAGCAAAGGTTCTTAAGCTCTGTGCTTGCAAAAGATCTTCAGCCAAAACTCTTTTAAGAAAGAGATTTACTGGGCTGGAGAGATGGCTCAGCCGTTAAAGGCTAGGCTCACAACCAAAAATATAAGAAAGAGATTTATTTGGGAAGGAGTTCAGGAGGGTACCTACCTGAGCCAGGATGGAAAAGGGCAGCCAACAACTGAACAGGCACAGGACTTATATAGAGCTTCTTAGGGGCAGAGTTTTTTCCAGGGAGAAGATTTTTCTGTTCAGGGATTGGTTAGTTTTCTGCTCAAGGATTGATTGGTTAAGTTGGTCAAGGAGCAGAGTTGGCTCTGGTTTCAGAGCCAAACTGTGTTTCTCTTACCTGCCCTTTTAAGCTTTTTGGCTCTAGTTTGAGGTCCAGGGTGTATTTCTTTTACTGTCTCTGATTCTAGGGCCAAAGTGTATTTCTTGGGCTCTGATTTCAGAGACAAGATGTGTTTCTTTGATTCAGGTTTCAAGGCTAAAGAGTTTCATTCACTAGCTCTGTGTTTAGAGCCAGGGTGTGTTTCTTTGGCTGGTTCTTTTACCCTAAATTACCTGTTTTCTTCTAAGAGTTATATATTTTTTAAAATTTATTCTGTGTGTCTTTTACAACATGTATCTTGATCCCATTCATTTCCCTGTCCCTTTGCATCTGTCCTCTACCCCTGCAACCCCATACACAAATAAAACATTTAAGGGGGAGAAAAGGAAAAATAAAATAGGGAAAAAATTAAAAAATCTCATCGTGGAAACTGCAGTGTGACAGTGAGTCATGCCGTAGATCCCTTTGTCCATATATCTTTACTTGGTCATTGCAGAGTCATGGATCTAGTGTAGGCAGAGTTTCTCTGTGTCTCGGCAGCTGCTCCCAAATAGCCACTCAGAGACTTATTATTAATTATAAATGCTCAGCTGATAGCTTAGGCTTGTTACTAACTAGCTCTTACAACTTAAATTAACCTATCTTACTCAATTGCATGATGCCATGCGTCTCATTGCTTGTTAACTCATTTGTACAGGTCCTGCTCCCTCTATGCCTGGCTGGCAGCTCCTCTGACTCTGCTCTTTTCCCCATCATTCACTCCACTCAGAAAATTCTGCTGAGCTATCAACCAATCAGATTTTTCTTAACAATGAGAGCAATACAAGATTGTTCCAAAGCAGTCTGTTTCAACGCCTCTGGTTTCTACTACACTGTCGATGCTGTGTCCTCATTAGGACTCTTCCTGGGTATCCTGTCAGTGCCTTGAGTCATGGAGATCCTGCAGCTTTGGGTCTGCGGGTCAGTTCTTTCACATGCTCCAGCAGTTCATAGATGGGGTGTATTTGGGGGAAGCCCAAGTTATAACCCAGGGTCTGGGGCTGGGAAGCTGTAAGGTTGGTCTACCAGATGAGAAATGGAGACAGTTCTCCCATGTTTACAACTTCAGAGCTGGCTCACCCACTTCTGTGCTACTACGGTTGGGTCTCCCAGTTTTATGACTACAAAGCCTGTTAGCTCTCCTACCTGCCCCAGGCATTGGTTGTAGTTTTTATATGTGTTATTAATTAACTTTAAGTTATCTTATATGAGTTGGAAGCAAGAGTCCAAATGTGTCCTTTTGCTTGTGCAAGACCATTTGTTCCACACTGTTGGTTGGGGAGATGCTGAGGGATCCCTGCAGGTGCCATACAGGGAAACTGACCATGAGAAGAGAACAAGAATGAAAACCCAGTCAACCTGGATCAGACTTCAGGGAGTCTAATAACAGGTGGTTTATTGCCAGGGTTTTAAAGCCCAGTATAATTTGGAAAAAAAAAGTTTCATGGTATAATACAATGCCCATTGCTCAAGGAAGTGTAATTACTTTGAAACTCAACTAGGGGTACATGTTATCTCTTCCAAGAAGATGGGTTCTGGAGATAGGCTATCTGTACTAGCTTAAGGGTCTAAGGGTCTGGCCTGATCTCGGTCATACACATAGCTTAGTGGTCATTTGGGCTATTAGCCACCTCTGGCCCTGGTTGTGGGAGGACCTCTGGCTTTTGGGTCATTTAGATTACTAGCCACCTCCAGTCTTGGTTGATATGGAGCTTGATATGGCCTGGCCCAACAGATAACACAGATCACCAGGCAGTTAATCACTTCCAATTCCCAGCTTCCTGTTTGGAAGAACAGATTTTTCATCTTTCCAATTGGAAAGACAGTTCTGCATGCTTAACATTCCTGGTTTCTCTGCAGATCTGTGGGAGCAAGCACCTTCATGCTATGCTCCCAACAGGATGTCTTATTTATTTTGTGAGTCTAGAGAGCAGCACAGTGCTTCCCCCGTGCTCTACGAGCAGATGATTCAGACGGCAGGATCTTCATGGATGTTCTTCCTAAACAGATGTTAGCATCTCTCAGAAGTTTCCTTATGGAAAGATCTAAAAGTCACAGCACACTTGAAACTCCCACATGGGTCTTCTTGAGTGATGGGAACCGTGTGCTGCTTTCCAGATCAACTCTTCCCTAACTTGGACAAGTTCCCGAGCCTGAGAGAACTGTCTGTGAGACTAGATGGTTCACCAGATGTGCTGTCCGTCATCCCTGGAGACCTCCCAAACCTCCACCACATGGAGAAGTTATCCATCCAAACTTCCACAGAGTCTGACCTCTCCAAACTGGGTAAGGATGGTGCTTGGATCTCCCAGGTCATGGTTCAGCTGGAAAAGTATTTAGCTAACAATGTTAGAATCATTAAATCATCATTAGTTAAAACTTCTGTGGGTCTGACAGCGTGAACCGTGTCCATGGGAAGGTGCAGGAACCGTAAGAGGGCAGACATGTATCTGTAACCCTGAGTCCTTAACATGACTGGAACTGTTCTGAACTCTTCACAGATACTAACTCACTCTTCATACCACTGTGTGAGAGAAGGCACAGTGGTTACTGCTGATTTTTAACTGGGGAAATTGAGTCAGTGATTTCTCAGGTTTATCCAGCTAAGAAAATGTATCTTCCAAAGAGAAGGTTTGAACCCATGGCCTGAGCGTTAAACTCCCAACACACTTCCTCTCCAAGGCAGTTTGTGGAGTCCTTTTCTTTGCTGTTGTTGCAGATCCATCTGCTGAGGGAGAAAGAAATCTGACTGGGGGCAACCTGGACCTTTTCTCCATTTCTCTCCATCCAAGCCTCTTGTTGATGAACAGCTGTGCAGCCATCTTTCTAGAACATGTCATTTAGCAAAATGACTCACGCACCATTAGGTCCTTAATTTGGAAAACCCTGAACACTGAGGACTAAAGAAATGGAAAAGAGGGGACCAGAGTGGGGCATGGTTGCTCATGCTTATAATCACTTGGGAGGCTGCTGCAGGAATATCACAACTTCAAAGCCAGCCTACCTGTGTGGTGATTTCCAGGCTAACATGATCTACAGAAACAAAACCAAACAAACAGACAAAATTTCTGCTCAGCAAGATGGGTCAATGGGTACTTCCTGACAAGCCCAGTAACACCTTGGGTCTGTGGGTCTGCAAAAGAATAGAACAGATTTCCCCCAAAGTTGTCTTCTGACTGCCACGTGTGGGTTATGTGCCCCACCCCCCCACCAAATTATTTAATTAAAAAACATTTTAAGTTGTGCCTCAGAATTCTCCTATATTTTGTGTTACTCTGTACAGAATTCTTGATGTATTCAGAGACATTAGGGTACTGATGCTGAAGGTGAAATATGGAGAAGAGAAAACTGATCCAGAGAGGGTCAGGAACTTTCCCCAGGTCAGCTACTCCCTTGTTAGTTGCAGAAGCTGAGCACATGCCCAGCGTGACCTGAGCACTGGCTCACAACATCACTGCCTGTTTAATCTGTGTGGCTGGAGAGTATGGATTGAGAGACCTGTTCAGATAGAAACTTGAAACCTTCTCTAATTTGTGAAAATCCTTCCTCTTTTCCAGTTAAATTGATTCAGAACTCTCCAAATCTTCATGTTTTCCACCTGAAATGTGATTTCTTTTCGAATTGTGAGTCTCTCATGACTGTGCTTGCTTCCTGCAAGAAACTCAGAGAGATTGAGTTTTCTGGACGATGCTTTGAAACCAGGCCATTTGGTAAGAACTGTACAACTTCAACTTCAGATACTCCTATGCACAAAGTCATTAAATACTCGAGAACTAAAATGCAACTGATGTCACAGAAACTGTGACAGCACCTGACTTCAGTGAGTCTTTCACAACAATGACATGCACCTGTGTCTACAATGTAACCATTTCAGAGTTGTTTTCTCTGCTTAGTCGTAGTAAATCAACCTGAATATTATATCACCTTTCATCACTTTGAGAGACTCTCATTTCAATGATGTTCCACTGTGTCTCAGGAAATGTGTCTGAACTAAATTTATTTTCCCTTTCCTAGTCACTATTTTGCCAAATTTTGTTTCACTGAAGATATTGAATCTCAAACGTCAACAAATTCCAGATAAAGAAACATCAGAAAAGTTTGGTAAGTTTGTAAAACAGTGTTTCTTAATGTATTCCTTATTTTCCCCCTTCTCCTCATTGTCCCCTTCAGTGAACCTACAGCAAAGTAAGCTGTCCCTGGTCATCCATGGCAGCTGGGTCCAGGACCTCTGCTGATGTAAACACTAGAAGATCCTCCACTCTATGATATAAAATGGTGCAGTGTTTGCCCACAACCCCACATGTCCTCCATATGCTTTAAACCATTTCTCAATTGTTTACAATGCCTACTGCAATGTAAATGCTGTATAAACCAGTGTTACACTGTGTTGTTCTGGGAATAATGATGAGGGGGAAATGTCTGTGCACGTTTGGCACAGACACAATTTTTAAAATTGAACCTGTAGTTGGTGGAATGTGTCAATACAGAGGGTCAGCTGTACCAGCTGTGCTGGTCCTTAGGAGGACAGCATGGTGATTGATGCTCAGTGTCACCCCAGATGCCATCACTGTTGGTCCCACACATCCCCACACTTGATCTCATTAAATGCAATGTTGTCAGACTCACTGGCTTTGTAGAAGAGAATTTGGCCATGATAGCACTGTGTAATTTCATTGTCTGGCAACCACTCCAAATATGCTATGTCCTTTTTGTTTCAATGGTTTCAGAATAAATATTAAAACTTCTATTTAGTTTAAGAAAACTAAACTGTGATAACCATATTGAACAAATTGATAGGTGTAGAGAGTTTATATACTTTTTTTGAGTTAAAAAAAAGTTTAGAAAAGTAATGTGCTTACCTGGCAGACATTAGCAGACTAAAAAAAAAGTAGGGAGATAAGGCTGCTATCAGATACAGAGCTCTGTCTTCACAGTGCTTCCCAGACTTTAGTGTGCATAAGAAGAGGCCCCCTCCCTTCTGTGGAGGCAGCTGCTGTGTGTTTGCTTTGGTTTTGGAGGTGCTGGTAGTCGGGTGGGGTAAAGCATCAGAGACAACATCAGGTCACTGTCACATGTCACAGGTTAACTATGTAAAATGCACACTGACTAGAATAAGAATCAAGTTTCCCCATTGCTGGAAAAGAAAATTACAAGAATAAAATAGGAAACTGGTTAGCTCTAGACATAAGGAAGCAGGTATTTGGATTCTTGTACCCAGCTTGGAATGAGGCCTTAATGAAGTGAATTCTTTTTCCTTTTTAAAAATGAGTACATATTTAGGATTTTCCTCACAGAGGTCTGTCAAACTTACAGATTTTTTCAAGAAAAAGGCTTGGGAGGTGGCTCAGGAAGTGAGAAGCCTAGCACCAAGGTTGACAACCTAATTTGGATCCCTGGGACCCATGTCATGGAAGGAGAGAGAGCCCACCTCTGCAAGCTCTCCTCTGCCTCTAACCCCCTAAACTCATACCATGCCACACATATGTCAACAAACATATACACATACAATAAATACATACAGATACAATTCAAGTTGTTTTTAGATGTCAGGCAGAAAGAACCACAAATTGGAAATATTGGTGCAGACTTGTTTGTTATTCCATAAGCATACATAAATGCATAGATGTATATAGAAATCTAGGATTCTATACACAAGTAGCTCTTGGGACAGTCACGTGAGAGACCAGAATGCACTTTACTAGTAATAGACACCAGTGCTCAATTGCTCACTTATTTTCTATTTTAAACAGTTCTGTTTTCTGTACACAGAGCTAGGATAATTTCTTTCGTGGGTAGATGTTTTAAGTAACCCATTCGAGAAAGATCACATAGAACCTGGGAATGGTGGCACATCCCAGCACTAGAAGGATGAGACAGGGGATTTAGGAGTTCCAGGCCACCCTGAGCTATAGAGTAAGACTGACTTTTAAAAGTCCTAAATAAATCATTTAACTCAACTAAATGAAACTTCTATCCCATGCATACTAATATAACTACTGTCAGTAGTTTAAGTAGATATGACAAGAACAAGAAAGTCCCTGAGATTTCATAGGTGGCTCAGGAGAGCAGCTGGCTACAATTCTTGCTTTGTTGCTATAGAAACAGTGGCTGCGTGAACTGCCCAAATCCCTGGACTTGATTTCTTTTCTTTTTTCTTTTTCTTTCTTTCTTTCTTTCTTTCTTTTTTTTTTTTTTTTCATTTTATTTATGTCTGCATGTACACCTGCAGGCCAGAAGAGGGCACCAGTTGTCATTATAGATGGTTGTGAGCCACCATGTGGTTGCTGCTAATTGAACTCAGGACCTCTGGAAGGACAGCCAGAGCTCTTAACCTCTAAGCCATGTCTCCAGCCTTGTCCTGGACCTGATTTCTAAACATCTGTTCCTAAAAGAATCAGAATCTGTGAAAACACGGTTCGTTCAAGAACCAAAATGGAGAGCCAAAGATAAATCTAGAACATTGGTCCATGCCAGAAAGCTTTCAAAGTTGTTCCTGTGGGGCCTCAGCAGTAGACTTAGTGATCATGGGATGCATAGTGTCCCATTAATCAAGAGCGAACTTGGGAAGGAAAGCTCCCACGGTGGTGGAGCTTGCTTTGGTGCCAGTGTGGGTCCTCAGCATGGAATCCCTGGGTGATAGCAGGAGTTGGGATGGTAAAACAGGGCATGGGGTGGAGGCTTCCTGGAGTCCGTAGAGTGGCCTGAGGCCAAAGGAAGGCTGGCTGTGGGAAAGGAAGTGGAAATGGAGAGACACATGGACTTGTGTGAGGAGACAGGTTGGGGGAGGATGGAGGGACCAGTGCAGAGAGCAGCAGGGAGCAGTTGTGTGCTGACCCCTTCTCTCTGCCTTGGAGAGGACAGTGAGCAGGAGGGCCTCTGCTAGGTGGGGCCTCCTAGACTGCAGAATGTCCAGGTCATCAGCTGCTCATGAGGGGACAACCATTGAGGATGGCTTTGTGGTGTCTCCCACAGCACAGGCTCTGGGTTCTCTCAGGAACCTCGAGGAACTGCTCCTTCCCACTGGGGACGGGATTCAGCAAGTGGCCAAACTGATTGTCCAGCAGTGTCTGCAGCTTCCGTGTCTCCGAGTTCTTGCCTTTGTAGAGACATTAGATGATGACAGTGTGATGGAAATTGGTGAGTTTCTCTCAGGGAAAGAGTTTCCCCTTGTGCAGAAGCCAGCAGCATCATTGGAGCTGCCTGTTGCAAATGTCTATAAAAAACATCTCATTTCCAAACCATCCAACCTACTTCCTCATGTCCACTATCTTGCCGCCCCTCTTGTGCCCTTCTGCAGATTTGGGTTCATCCTGGGCAGGCCTGGCAGGCCAATAGCCTCTCTGGGGAGCTATAGAAGCCATCCAGTCTGTGGCTGGTCCTCACTCACCATGCTAGACCAGTGTTTTACTTACTCTTCACCACAGCCCAGGCAAGTCTGTATGACACTTGGTGTTTCACAGTCCTGTCAGGATGCTCTTTTTGTTAGCACGTATTTACAATATGTTTCGGAAGGTGTGAAAGTCTACAGGTCCGTGCTGAACAAGACTCTCCAGTTCACGGTCTTGGGGATTTTGTATCTGAGTACAATTAACCGGCATTGGAACACAGACTAATGCCAGAAGCTGAGGTTCAATCCCTAAAGCAATAATTAACCCATCTCTGCCACCTTGTCTAGCTTCCTTACAGCTCTAGTTTGCCTTTATATCTTCCAGCTAGCTGCACAGCACATACAGAGCTGTGAGATCTTTCTGGTAGAGCATCGAGTGCTCTTCACCTATGGTGGCACTTCCTGCCTTACTCTCACTTCCTGTATACTAATATGGGGGTCCAGCACTCTCTCCATGTCTTTTTCCTGCTTTAAATCTATGCACCTGTGTTTAAAGTGAATCTCTTCTACAGTTACATCGTTCGATTTTACAAGTTGAATCTAGGAAGATTTCTGTTGATAAAGCACTTGTCTAGCATGCCTGAAGCCCTGGGTTTGATCCCTAGCACAACATACAAACAGGCATAGTGGTCAGAATGGTACACACCTGTAATGCTAGCACTCAAGAGGTAGAGGCAAGAGGACCACCATTACCCAGGTCATGATCCTTGCCCACATAGTGACCTAGGGGCCAGTATGTGCTACAGGGGACCCCATCTCTAATCAGTCAAAATCTCCACAATCACCAAAATAATAAATGATGCAAACCTGAGGTTGCAGAAATGGTTAAGTCTGTAAGGCGCCTCCAGTCCAGGCATGAAGTGTCCGTGTGATATGCAGCAAGCTCCCAGGAGAGGGCGCCAGGGAGCTGAAGACAGGAGAATCCATAGCACTTATTAGCCAGCCAATCCAATTGGATCTTTGAGTTCCAGGTAAAGTGAAAGACTGGTCTCAAAAACGAAGGTGGAGAGCAACTGAGACGACATCCATCACTAACTTCTGGCCTCCACAAACACCCACACATACATTTGCATCACACACACACCCCAACACCCCCACACACATACAGAAATTTTAAAATAAAAATACAGTCCATTACTCTTTTATTCACATTGAATATACTTGTAACTGCAGTTGAATTTTTACCTTATTTTTTTTTTGTAGTCAGTGACTGTTGATTATTAGTCCAGCCTGGTCGTAACCTTGCTGTGTAGCCCTCAGTGGCCCTGAACTTTCCATCTTCTTGCATCAGCTCCCCTCCCCCCAGCTGAGATGGCAGGGGTGAGTCAGCCCTCTGTGCATTTTTATTTGGTATTGGTGTATTTCTTCCACAGGACATATGTGGGTTTTTTTCTCTGCTTATATGCTTCATCCTATACTTATTAATTACACATTCTCTTTTCCTCCAGGGGGTGGTTAGGTAGGGTCTATTCTGTAGCCCAGGCTGGTTTCAAACTCACTATGTAGTTTAAAAGCCAATTTAAGTTGGCTTTTAATCCATAGCCATCCTTCTGCTCCGGGTTCAAGGCTTTCTGCATGCGGCCATGCATAGTTCCAGCTCTACATTTTTCCTTTTTCAGTATTATCTTGGATAATAAAATTTTCAATTTGAATAATATAAATGAATATACAAATGAATACTTTTACCACTTTATGAGTCAGGTAGTTGTTCCTGGGATGTTTAAGTTCCATTTATCTGGGTTGTCCAGATGGCTTAGCAGGTAAAGGGCTTACTGCCAAGCCTGAAGACTTAAGTTTGATCCCATAAAGTGAAAGACCACAATTGACTGTGTTGGACCCAAAAGTGAAGTCCAACTTTGGGAGACACACCCCACAGAGTCACTCACAGGACCCAAGTTCGATGCAAAAGCAAAAGGATTTTATTCCAACGCATTGGCGTCGTTCCCTGGGAAGAGAACGGCCCCAAGTTTTCAAAACAGGCAGTTTTTATGTCTTTTTGGTCATTAGGCAGGAGTATGACAACATATTGATTGGCTGTAACATACATGAGTCATTCTCTGATTGGTGGGGAACTCAACTTACAATTTTGCCCACGAGGAGTTTGGAATGTTATTTTGGTTTTTACACCTACAAGGCCATGGGACAGCTAGTGGTTTTTCTGGGAATTTATACTTATTTTCAAAACTTGGGTGCTCTGGAGCATGGTAGCCCATAACAATTTTTAGAAACCAGACAGTTGTTGAAGATAATAGAAACTAGTAATAATAACAATTTCCAGAGACTGGTCATCATGACCATTTCATGTGATCTTTGTCCCAGAGCTGTGTGTGCCCAGAGTGATTTTTAAATACATGCTGGTGGGTATCAGGTTGGGCTTGAGTTGGGGTCTATCAACTGTCCAAAATTGTTCTCTGACCTTCATATACATGATGCTGTGGTGTTTGGACACACACACACACACACACACACACACACACACACACACATACAGAGAGAGAGAGAGAAAATATTTACATTACATTCACCTTCTACCTTTCTAGATGTCATTTATTTTAGTTTCCACCTTGGTTAAACAGTTCTGGGTTTAGTATTCTCAAACTAGATTTGTTTATTCGTTTATTTTCTATTGTTTTTGTGACAGGGTCTTGTATGTAGCCCAGACTGGTAAAAATCTTGCAGTGACCTTCCTGCCTGTGTCCTGAGTGCTGGTGTCCCTGTCTCTGTGCCTGCTGCAATGTATTGATTCATGACTGCTGTTGCCCCTGGGCACCGCCCCCCCCCCAGCTTCCATTCACCGGGGCCCTTTTCCTCCTGCCTGAAGGACTCTGTTAGCATTTCTTCTATTCTGGGTCAGCTAGTCATGACTTTCCTCCCATTCTACTGATATGGAAATAGCTTTTGCCTTCATCTTTTCAATACTTTCCTAGAACATTCTATTTGGGAATTACTTCCACTAAGGTTTCTGGCCGGTATCATTTCTTTTGTTTAGTGTCTGCTCTGAGTATTTTCATGATATGATGTCCTTAAGGGTGAGATGTCTTTTTCCATAACTCAGTAGCTTTTAAGATTTACTTTTTTTTTCTAACCAAGTCTCACTATGTAGCCCATGAAAAACCCCCAGAGGCTCAGGCCCCCAGGATCTTGGTCCAGGACTGCAATGACCCAAATCATCGGGCAGAGGTGAAAGCTTGATGCAAACAGCACAAGACTTTATTGTAGTTGTTTAACAAGCTAACCCCATGTTAGCTCAGGCCTTTCATCCATCCACCATGGCAGATGGCTAGGAAAGACGGTGAGAAGCCACTGCATAGAGATTTTATAGGGCAGCGTAAGGGGAGTGTCTAAGGGTACGCACAGGCTCAGGATTGGTGTGCCTCCAGGCTTGCCCTGTGTTGACTGGTCAACTGGTTGTTATGGCCCATAGGCCCTCCCAGGG